AGGAAGGTCATAGGGCACGCACTATGCCGGGTGAAGGCAAGCTAGGGCAAACTGGAAGAGCCTTACAAGATAACCGGGGCAAAGGGCATACCACTTTAGAGGATTTGGATGGCAAAAGGCGTACCGGTCATGGAATGCGGCCTTATGTAATTTTTGTGAGGGACTTGTTTCCCCTACACTTCTGAATGCAAATACTCTTTTTGTCAATGAATAGAAGTGAATTACTTTTGCTGAAGAGCTTTGTTGTGTCCGAATAATAGTGGATGAGGGGCCTACTCTTCTGTTCCAGCCGAGATGGTTTGCTCCGGTGGAAGGAGTTGGCGTTTTGTCCAACTTCGAATTCCCACCGAGAGGTTTACTCCGTTGGAAGAGTTTGGCGTTTTGTCGCACTTCAGATTCCCAACGAAGATGGTTTTACTCCGGTTGGAAGAGTTGGCGTTTTGTCCAACTTCGATTCCAACCGAGATGGTTTTACTCCGGTTGGAAGAGTTTGGCGTTTGTGTCCAACTTCCGAATTCCCAACCGAGATCGGTTACCCCGGTTGAAGAGTTGGCGTTCAGTCCAACTTCGGATTCCCAACGAGATGGTTTTCCTCCGGTTGAAGAGTTGGCGTTTTGTCCACTTCGCATTCCCACGAGATTGGTTTACTCCGGTTGGATAAGAGTTGGTGTTTTGTCCAACTTCGGATTCCCAACCTGAGATGGTTTACTTTCGGTTGGAAGAGTGGTGTTTTGCCACTTCGATTCCCAACCGAGATGATTTACTCCGGTTGGAAGAGTTTGGCGTTTTGTCCAACCTCCGATTTCCAGCCGAGATGTCTTACTCTTTTTTGGTTATTTTAGCCACAAGACAAAATAAGTTATTTTAGCTACAACAAACAAAACAGCACATCCAACCTATAATCATTACACTTTTCTCTAAAAAAAAAAGTTAAAAAAATCAAAAAGTCAAAAAGTCCTTCCTAAACCAAGCTTTTTATTCCAGTCTAAAATAGTCAAAAAAGTCAAATAGCCAAAAAGCCAACCCACTTCCCAAACCAGCCCTCAATAATAAAAAATTCTAAAGTAATTCTCAAAACAAAATGCAAATTACAAGATATGTGCCTCATTTTTTTGGGTGCTCGAAGATATGTTTCTCATGTTTGATTTACCGCTATGATTAAATTGGATAATTTATAATTTATCTTATTCTAAGAGGGCATTTTGTCATAAAAGCATTATCTCTTGATAACTTATCCCAACTGTTTCTCATGAAAAAATAATTTTACTATGTGAGATAAAATCTCTCATATTAGTTATTCCAAATTATAATAATTGAACCAAAACGGTACATTATTTTATATTTGAATTTTTAATTCCAAACACACTGTTAAGTCTAATTACCAAAATAAAGCATCAACATCATCACTATTTTTAGCGGGACATGCCGCGTCATGAAGCTTAAAACAAAGATTAATTATTTATTAGTCACAATGTAACTATAACAACAATCCAACACATTACAGAGTATGCAAACAAAAAAAAAGTGTGGATAGGTCTATGCTTTTAATAATTCACAGCTTGACACAGCTCAACAATCCAAGATTGATTTATTCTCTCTTTTATGTGCCAGTAAAAGTATCTGTATACAAATTATTAGAGCGATAAACATACAAGATATAAGAGAATAAGTTCCATATATGAGATCTATCTGTGAATCTCATCCTCTTGCATCTTGTATGTAATTCATTCTATGAATAATTTCTATACTTGTAGCATAGCTCTTCATCTGCTCATTCCTCCTTCAACCACTGGTGCCACACCCATTTCACGATTCTGTTTCTCCACATTGCCATGCCATCCTAAACAATTTACAATAACCAACTATCATCAATAAGAATGCATAAAGGCTGTTTGCACTACAACAAAAAAGGTCTATGGTGACGAAAACGCATGATGAAAAAATATTTCGTCTCCGAATATACATGTTTTAGAGATGAAAATAAGATTTCGTCTCCAATTGTACTATTTTTAGAGACGAAAACAAAATTTCGTCACCAAATGCTTAAAATAAATAAAATAATAGATGACGAAATTTTTTTTCATCTCTAAATTTTATTTTTCGTCACAAAAAAAATTCCCGCTCTTGAAAATTTTGACGGAAAATTTGAGTGCCATATTAGAAACAAAAAGTTTCATCACCATTGTAAAATTTTTACAAATATAATATCGTCACCTATAATTTAAGAGACAAAACGACGCTGTTTTGTCTTCCAAATTCTTCTCTCTTCCACTTTTTCTCTCCCTCTCCCCCTCTCTGCTTTAGGTCGTAACCCTCCAACTCGCTACTCGCAAGGTAATATTTCATTCCTGATTCAGTGTTTTGGCGAAACCATGCTTCGATTAGCTCACCGAGTTGGCTCCTTAGTGGCTTCAAGTCGCAACCCTCCCACTGTGCTTCGATTGGCTTCACCACCACCACAACCACTGTCATCATCATCAACTTCTTCAAACCCCCTCCGGTACCTCTCTCCCTCTCTGTCTTTCTCTCTATGCTTCAAGTGTATAATGGTTTGATTGTTTATCTGGGTTTAAAATGGATAATGGTTTGATTGTCTATAATGATTTGATTGTTTATCAAGGTTTGAATTTGGGGTTTTATTCCCTCTTTTCTTTGATTTCTCTTTCTTTGAATTTGGGGTTTTACCCATGTAGACACCACCTTATCAAGGTTTGAATTTGGGGTTTTATTCTCTCTTTTCTTTGATTTGTCTTTCTTTGAATTTGGGGTTTTATCCATGTAGACACTATCCATGCCTTTTCACTGCCAATGCACCACTACATCTTTGTTAATGAGACTCCACAATTAAATAAAATTCAATTGAAATTTGAAATACAGCTGAGATTTCGATATTTTTTGTTTTCAAATGGCAGTTATGATGGTAAATTGACAAAAGGAAAATGGTAAATTGATTGTTCTTGAAGAAAATGGTAAATTGATTATAAATTGAGAAAAGGAAAATGGTAAATTGATTGTTCTTGAAGAAAATGGTAAATTGATTATAAATTGAGAAAAGGAAAATGGTAAATTGATTGTTCTTGAAGAAAATGGTAAATTGATTATAAATTGAGAAAAGGAAAATGGTAAATTGATTGTTCTTGAAGAAAATGGTAAATTGATTATAAATTGAGAAAAGGAAAATGGTAAATTGATTGTTCTTGAAGAAAATGGTAAATTGATTATAAATTGAGAAAAGGAAAATGGTAAATTGATTGTTCTTGAAGAAAATGGTAAATTGATTATAAATTGAGAAAAGGAAAATGGTAAATTGATTGTTCTTGAAGAAAATGGTAAATTGATTATAAATTGAGAAAAGGAAAATGGTAAATTGATTGTTCTTGAAGAAAATGGTAAATTGATTATAAATTGAGAAAAGGAAAATGGTAAATTGATTGTTCTTGAAGAAAATGGTAAATTGATTATAAATTGAGAAAAGGAAAATGGTAAATTGATTGTTCTTGAAGAAAATGGTAAATTGATTATAAATTGAGAAAAGGAAAATGGTAAATTGATTGTTCTTGAAGAAAATGGTAAATTGATTATAAATTGAGAAAAGGAAAATGGTAAATTGATTGTTCTTGAAGAAAATGGTAAATTGATTATAAATTGAGAAAAGGAAAATGGTAAATTGATTGTTCTTGAAGAAAATGGTAAATTGATTATAAATTGAGAAAAGGAAAATGGTAAATTGATTGTTCTTGAAGAAAATGGTAAATTGATTATAAATTGAGAAAAGGAAAATGGTAAATTGATTGTAAATTGACAAAAGGAAATGGTAAATTGATTGTTTTGCAAATCCTTAAGCTATCATTCAAGAGTGTTTTGTGCTTCTAGTTTCTGTGAGAAAATTTTTATAATGATTTGGAAGTATAGAGGAACATTTAATTTCTATAGCTCATTAGAAACTTTGTCAAAGCTTTAGATTGGAAATGCGGTATTTATGTGATGTGTGTAGTTTCAGAACTTGAAAAGAAACTTAAAAGCTTCTTGTTTGACCTATGAAGGATGAATATGGAGAGTACGCGCAATAGTGAAGGCAGTTCTCATGGAGAAAATACAAACTCAAGTCAACAAAAAGGTAGAATGCTAATTTTGCTTGTTGATCTAATTTATCTTCCCTAACGGTTCGTGTAAATTAAAATTTTCAGAAGATAACTTGGAAGTACATGGTCAATGGAATCAGAATGGTGAGGCTGCTCCATTAACTGCTGAAAAGGTGAGATCTGCTGCCAAAGCTGGTCTTGCTGCTGCTGCAACAAAGGCAAAACTGTTTGCAGATCATGAAGAGCGTGAAATTCAAAGGCTATCTGCTAATATTATAAATCATCAGGTATATTTGTTAGGATGCTCTTATTTTGTGAAAACTTTAATGATTCATTACCTTATGCTCTTCCTAATTCTAGTGTTTTCAATGAATAGTCAATTCTTTTGATTAAATTGCATGGGCATTGCCTTAGGCTTTAATGTAAATTAGTTCTTCATAATTTTTACAATTATATCCTTGGTGTATATCAAATTGTTGTATTTGGTTGCAATTTTTTCTTCTTCCTTGGTTTTCCTTGTTTGTCCAGGTATATTAGTGTTAAGTTCCTAATTTTCCCAAAAGCCTAAGCTATTAGTAAATGGTAGTTTTAGTTCCACGATGGTTCTTGAAGAAAATTCTTATCAATTGATTGAAGAATTTCAATATAATTTTTTTTTTGAAAAAATCTTTTAGCAATTAAAATATTAGTATGATTACAAACAGTGTTATGAGAGAAGAAAATAAAGGTAAATGGTGGTTGGTGGTGAGGTTGGGTTGCTAAAGAAAAACACTCTGATCTCTCTACATGATAGCGAGACATAAATTATTTCTCTACATGAGTATATTGGCATAGAAACTACCTTTGGGTCTTTATTTCAAATTTATTTGAATTAGTACATTTGATTTTTTATCATAACAAGCATGATGTCCAAATTTGCAAGCCGTATGATCTGCAGGCCAAGAAAACCAAAAGGAAACATTTTATTGAAGGAATTTCTCGTAGGATCAATTGTCATTTATGGGTTAAGGAGTGGAAAAAATAATTGTACTGTAACGCTTTCTCCAGGCCAAGAGCATAAGGTTGAGGGTTTGGCATCACACAGAGCTTCACAGATTCTGTGGGTCACTGTAACGCTTTCTGAACCAATTCCCAATGGTTTCTATTCTATAGGTGCAGTGAGTAGTATATATTTTTGTTGAAATGTGCAATTAGTAGAACGTAGTTTTTGCTTTTCTGTGCTAGGATCTTTGGTGCAAGTGAGCATGTTTGGAGATTAGAAGTGATTAGCAAAAAAATAATATATTATTTGAATTTTGAATGCAGGTATAGTGTGCTAAAGTTTCTTGCCTTGTCTGTGGCTGATTCCATCAAACTTGCACATCGCTAGTAATCATGGATCGGCATGTCATAATGTATATGTATGTGGGCAGTCTACTGAAGTAGATCAGCATATCATAGTGTATATGTATGTGGGCAATCTAACAGTTTGTAACTGTAAGTGGTTTTCTTTATGATGCTGCCTTTATCTCCTCTCATGTGCACCTAATACCTAAACTTGCACATAGTTTTATGCAATATGATGCTTGGGGATTCTAAAAATCTATAACATTTATTGTACTAAATAGTAGAAAGGCACAAGGAGAATATGGTAGTGTATTACTTGACTTTTAAAAACTGTTTAGGACCCTTTGTGAACCCAAAAAATGAAATGGCTGGTAAATATCTCATTGTAATTAGATTGACCCTTAGTTTTGCATTTGGCATCTAGTGGTCTGTTTCTTTGATTTATGCATGGTGTAACAAATGTCTCAAGAATCCAAATATATATATATATGGAAAATGAAAAAAAATTGTTATGCATGTGCACTAAATAAATGTTTAGCTAAAGTATGCACTCCGGTTTTTAGAAGTTGTAGAGTTCTTTAAATGCTTGAAAATGAAAATTGAGCAATGGCTGTTGGCTCAGTACTGCCAGGTAAGACACTGATCAAATGCTTAGCAGTAACCTGATTATAGGTTTAATTTTGGACACAACTCAATACAAAAACTCCTTGCCATTGGCCACATAGCTAGTGGGAAAGGAGAAATTTATGCTCGGTTTTTTTTTTTTTTTTTGGGTCTTAAGATAGTAAGATGCCTAATTCTGAAAAGCCCTAGAAAGATCAACCTTAAAAAAAAAAGGTTCTTTTCTTATATCGATACAAACTTCTTTATATTCTATGCCTTCTATTGTTTTTTACATTTTGACTCTTCGACTGAGACACTACATACATTGTGCTCAATATTTTGACAGTTCTGTTTTAGCCATTTATTATGTAGTTTTTCCTTGTATGTCATTACTTTGGCTAAAAATGATTAATAAGTAAACTATTTCTAAACATAGTTCTTTCCTATTGGAAGCAACAACTTTAAAATGATATATGAGCAATATTATGAAGATGATGTTGTTATTGTGTAGTTTATGCTTATGGAAAAAATGTAAAAGTATACAAAGATAATAGAAAAAGTAGCCAGCATCTAACTTTTTTTTTTATTTTAATCCTTTGGAGCCTTGTAGATTAAGAAACAAATCAGTTCATTTGGGATTTGATCACAAAAGGTAGATTATAGGCTCTGAAACATCATTGTTGGGAAATTGGCATTAACAGTTAAATAGACCTTCATAAGATAATTGGGAGAATGTGATTGATTTTTTTTTTTAAAGATATATAGTTGTTTCATGTGTTATATACTACTGAGAAAGTGTTAAGATCTCGTTGCTTATGAATTTAGTATTCTATGTTTTAATCTGGTAGTTAATTTCCAGAAATTTCTAAAACCTAATTAAGTTTAAATTAATGGTTTTTTGTCTTTGTTTGACAGTAAGAACTCGCAATGTTTTCAAAAATTGATATCATGGTTAGTAGAGGCCGGTCTATGACCGGGCGAGCGGGGGTGCTCACGAAGTGACCTTCCCCAATCGTACCCAAGTTCCCGAGCCGAGGCAACTTTGGTGATGACGGACACGTGGCCTTTTGGCACCGAGTCAGGGTTTCCTAAATTTCCCAAAAATAAAATATTTAGGTGGCGACTCTGTATCTGGCAAAGCAGTCCATGTTTGGCACTTCTTTCAAAAATCAGTTTTCTCAAAACGATTTGTCGGATTTGGACTCTTTGGTTCAGACTTAGAACCGTGACACAATTTGAGAGTCCTGAGCTGTAGTGACCCCAAATGAACAGAACGGGACTCACCCTCCCGGGGCGTTCAGGGACGTCTACAGTAGTGTATTTTGATGACCATATTTTCCCATGATAACATGTATTTATTTACTAAATAGTAAATATTTTCTAGTTGTACTAGATGTGGCATTGATAAAAAATACCTGGCAATGCCTTACAGTTAGCATTACTAGTGGTACACTGGATGTTCCTTGGTGTGTGGGAGGCAACATTTTTGTGGTGGGTTTCCTTTTAAGTTTGGGTTGTATCATATCTTCCAATGCAATGAGTACTTGTTAGTGGACCTTCCTGTGGGGTAGTCTTTATACCCAGTCTAATAACCAAGAGTTGCATTCAATTAGTAGGCTTGAAGAGATTTTTTTTTCCCATGATAAGTGGATTTTTTCCTTTAGCAGGAATCACTCATATAGTGGATATGTTTGATTTCTTATTGTAGGATTTTTTTTATATTGAGTTAAAGTTATTTGCTGGTTTTTTTTTTTTTTGGTTTGTT